TTTTGAGTGCAGAGGTTTTTTAGGTGTACACATTTATTCCTCTGGACCCTCATAAATACAATTTAACAGTGTGCCAAATATTTGAGGCAGTTTTCAATATGATTCCAGATGATCATAAATATATGAGGTAGATGCTCAATAAATATTTGATGACAAAATGAAAGTAGCAATTTTGTTGCAAAGACTGAGGTATAGAATGCAGCAAAATTTGCCTAAGGTCACCCAGTGAGATGGCAGTATTGCCCAGACTTTCTGACAAAGAACTTAGTGTGATTGCCCCTTCTGGAAAACCCCACTCTCCCTGTCATAAATATTCACTCCCCTGAGGATCCCCTCAAGTGTCTCCCCACTACCATCTCTATGGGTTTCTCCTCTTGCCTAGGCTGTTTCTAATTTCGGTAAGCTTGAAATGCACTGGTTATACAGAAAACATTTTATCTGACCTTCCACATGCAAATTCTTTCCATTGGGATTTCTCAGTGTCCGGCTCCACCCCAGCCCACATGGCCATAAACACTCGTATGTCTACAGTCCAGCCCCAGGGATTCCAGAAATAACAGCAGGGCCCTCCATTAGAATGCTGGAACATAGTGAAGCATTACTGTATTAAAACAGGCCCTGTCCAAATCAGGCCTCTCCTGTCTGTCAAAATATAAAGCAACTTTTAGAAGTTAGGACCGGGAGGGGCAGCTGGAAGAGAGTTTAAATTTCTGGAAAGTCCGAATCTTCTCCTCCCATCTGTTTGCATTCTCAGACCTTCCATTCTAGAGATTCTCCAGATTTACAACCATCTCTACTTAGAATTTAAAATTCTTTCTCAGCTATGGTATTCCTTGATTTTCAATGATCCATTCTCTTTTGGGCATGCTAGAATTGGAATGACTGCATTGTGAACCCAATGCCCACACTGGGGCAATTTTTAACCCCATGCTGGCACAAAGACCCCTTTTCAGACTCATAGGATAGTCAGTTACCTTACACTTGATGGACTGGGGAAATGTCAACAGAGAAAGGAAGATGTTAGCAATGATACTAAAAAAATAGGCATCTGGGGCAACCTTTTTCCCTTCACAGAGACTTCCCCAGCAAGAGAAAGACAGATATCAACACCTTGAGAGAGAATTTTGGCTTTTCAAATGTCACCTCAAAATAATGCCATACAAACTCCCTTCCAAGACTAAAACTCAATGTGAATACACAAACAGACATGTGCTTTGATTGGTGACCACATTCGTCACCGATAAGGGGAAGTGAGGGAAAAACAGCAATGAAGCTGTGATCTAAGCCTTACAACATTCAATAGACTCCTGCGAACCCAGGTGGAGACCTGGTTGGCCAGCAGTGTGGCAAGACCTGGGGACTCAGGCCCGGGGTCAGTGACATAGCCACAGAGGACGAGAGTGGACAGTGAAGCTTCCAGCTATTAAGAAGAGAGGGCATATGCACAAGAACACCCACACTTGCAGATAATATCCACTTGACCTGGCTTCAATGACTGGATGATCAGAGCTCAACTAGAAGAAGAATGAAGAGGAATAAAAGAGTAATCTGATACAATTTGATGAACTTGACCTACACCTATGGATGCAGTAGCTCAAAAGAGTGAACAGATCTTTACAGCCAGGATCATTCCCACCCCCTCCATACACAGAGTAGACCAGGATGGGCAACTTGGACCTTGGCTACCCAAAATGGGGGGCTACAAAAGCAAGAAGTGACTGGCTTACAAGCTTTCAAGAGGGAGCCTAGATCCAGAGGGCGTGGAGGAAGGTAAACTCTCCACTGAGTAGTATCCAATCTGTTTGGGCAGGGCTGTTGAAAGGAGATGCGATGTGGATAGGTCTGTTGTGGTACAACAGTGAATAATTGTTATCAGGACTGACTGAGGGTTAGAAATGTAAAGGTAGATGTTTTGTAGCTAAAGGAGGGGAGTAGATTGACTTTGAAGTCCAGGAGCAGAGGTCCCTGGGACCATCAAGGGAGATGAGCGGAGTGCGGGAGCCTACCCAGACCAGACGTGGAGAGATGGGAGAGATGGAACCGCCGGGGACTCTAGACTCAGAGAGGGAGACGGTCTGAGTGTGGGGCAAGGCTAGCAGGATATACCTTTTGGTTGGTTGATGATGCATAGAGGGGATTGTAACCATGGCAAAGAAACAATATAGGATAAGATGAATGTAAAGCTAATGTTCTCCCATGTAAACTATCACATATTTCACAATAAAACATTTTTAAATGCCATAAAATAAAAAAACATTTGCACATAACATTGCTGTTGTTGTTGCTGTTGAGTGCTGTCAAGTCCATTCCTACTCAGAGGCCCTGTATAGGGTTTCCAAGGTGCAGCTGGTGAGTCTGAACTGCCAACCTCATGGTTCACAGTCCAGTCCTGTGAACACAGTCCTACAGCGCCACACCAGGTGTCTACACAAGCTAGTGATGTGAAAAAAATGTATTTAAATGCACAGTCTGGAAAGTCTGGAAATTTAAAACTAGTTGCTGTTGGCAGGGCAAGGGAAGCTTTCTGGGTGCTTTGCTCCAATTTTTTTTTTTTTTAATCATACTATCTGGACCAGGACTCCTGGTGTGGTGCTGTGGGTTTGGTACTGGACTGTGAACCACAATGTTGCCAGTTCAAACCCACTAGTTCCTCTTCGGAAACCCTATACAGGGTCACTATGGGCTGGAACCAACTCAGTATCACTTAACAACAACAACACTTAATTTGTATGCTGAGCAAATAATCTAAGAAACTGGATTATATGAAGAAGAATGTGGTATCCAGGATTGGAGGAAGACTCATTAACAACCTTTGTCATGAATATGATACAACATTGCTTGCTGAAAGGGAAGAGGACTTAAAATACTTACTGATGAAGACCACAGCCCTTATATGGATTTCGCCTTAACATAAAGAAAACAAAAATCCTCACCACTGGGCCAATAAAAAACATCATGATAAATGGAGAAAAGATTAAAGTTTTAAAAGACAACTTCATTTTGCTTGGATCTATAATCAACATTCATGGGAGCAGCAGCCAAGAAATCAAGTGGTGTGTTGCATTAGGCAAATCTGCTGCACAAGACTTCTTTAAAGTGTTAAAGAGCTATGAAGACTAAAGTGGACCTGCTCCAAACCATGGTATTTTCAAAAGCCTCATAAGCATGGTAAGGTTGGACAATGAACAAGGAAGACCATAGAAGAATTGATACATTTGACTTACAGTGTTAGAAAACAGTACTGAAGGTAACAATGCACTGCCAGAATAACAAACGGGTTTGTGTAGGAAGAAGTACAACTATATTGCTCTTTAGAAGCCAGGATGGTTAGACTTCGTCTCTCATAATTGAGACATATGTATTATAAGAAGGAACCAATCCCTAGAGAAGGACATCAGGCTCCATAAAGTGGAGGTTCAGGAAAAAAGAGTAAGACCCCCAACGAAATGGACTGGCACAGTGGCAGCAACAATTGGCTCAAGCATAATAATTGTGAGAATCTGTTGTGCACAGGGTCGCTATGAGTCAAAACCGATTCGACGGTGCCAATAGCAACAATAATCTGGCACTGCCTGATACCTGCTGAGCCCTCCGTGGATTTTTTTTTTTTTTACAGGGTTTAGGTACCCATGTGAAAACTTGAATTTAATCCTTTCTAATGGGGATTATTTCTAATTTGCAGCCATAATCACAATGTTTATTAAAGGCTAGGTTTAGTATATTGAACTCCAAACCTTTGTCACGTATAGGAAGGTGGAGGCGCTTGTGCAACATGATAGCCGATTATGTCACTCTCGGAAGTCAAGCCTCAGTAAGGGCCGACGAATGCTGCAGCTGCATTAGCCAACTACTCATCATCTGCAGTGGTTGCTGCAGAAAGACACTCTGCCACCGCGGGAGAGGTCGTGCAAGCCTGAGTCTCGTGCCGCACCCAGAAGCGCTGGGGGTGGCGGGGAGGATGAGGGGAGTTGGTAACAGCATCACCATGGCAACAGTGACGTCCTTTTACCCTGGATCTAATTGGAGGAAACCCCGTGGCTGAAGCCGCAGCCTACCGGCCAACCGAACTTTGTCAATTCGACCCACCCTCCTATCCTCGCTTCTCCTCCCACCCCCATTCCTTCTTCGCCCCCCTTCCGCGCGCTTAGTCTTCATTGGTTATTATCAGGTTAGAAGGCGGGACTCTCGGAGGAAGAAGGGCGCATCATTGGACAGCGAGAGCGGGGGCTGTCGCGCCGCTGCCCGCCCTGCGGCTACGGCGTAGGCTGAGACGGGAGGGTCCTTGGCTCAAGCTAAGAGCAGATCAAAGTGGTGGGGCTCGCGTCGGGGCAGCGGAGACAGTGAAGGTGAGCGCCGGGCTCGCTCCCCCGCCCCTTATCCGGCCCTCCTGGGTTTGAGGGTAGGGGTGAGAGGCTCAAATATCGGCTACGGCTGGCTCTAGACTCTCCTCTCCTCAGAGGCAGCAACCGGCGGGGAAGATGCAGGGCTAACGGCCGCTTCCATTTTGTGCTTCCCGGGCTGGGCGGGAGCGGCAGCGCGGGCTCCGCTTGTGTGTCCTGGGACCCTCACCTTCCTCTGTTGGCCTTTCAACCCCAGACCGCCCTCCCGACCCCGCCCCCGGCCCGCGGCCTCGCAGGGCGCCTCCCCTTGGCCTCTCCCCGGGTGCCTAGGCGGGTGAGCGTGGGCGGGGGGAGAGGGAAATTCAAGTCCGCCGCGGCGGCCGAGACAAAAGGAGGGCGGCGGGGAGCCGCGGGGGCCGGCCGGCGGTGCTGGGCGGGGTGTGGGGCGTATTGTCTGATAGTGCGCCCTCTCTCTCTCTCTCCTCCCCCCTCCTTTTTGTTCTTTCCTGCTATCTCGCCACCCTCGGCGCTCCTGCCGCGCTGCCCCGCCCCGCCCCGCAGGCTTTCGAGGAGGGCTCTTCCTGATCCGGGTTGGTTCTCGCCGGCCTTGGTGCCTCGCCCGCTCACTTCTCCCCGTCCCCTTCCTTCCCGGAGCGCCGCCGCCCTCCCGTCGGTCCACTATGGAGAAGACGGAGTTGATCCAGAAGGCGAAGCTAGCCGAGCAGGCCGAGCGCTACGACGACATGGCCACCTGCATGAAAGCCGTGACGGAGCAGGGGGCCGAGCTGTCCAACGAGGAGCGCAACCTGCTCTCGGTGGCCTACAAGAACGTGGTCGGGGGCCGCAGGTCGGCCTGGAGGGTCATCTCCAGCATCGAGCAGAAAACCGACACTTCTGACAAGAAGTTGCAGCTGATTAAGGACTATCGGGAGAAAGTGGAGTCTGAACTGAGATCCATTTGCACCACGGTCCTGGTGAGTCCCGACGGGTGTTGGTGGTGGGAGAACGGGCGGCGGGAGCCTCCTTCGGGAATGGGAAAGGAATGGGCGAGGTGGAGCATTGGAGATGGTCCGGAACCTTGGCTTCCGCAATGTGTGCTGGTTGTTCTGAGACGCAAGTTGATTTCCAGGGTTAGTGAGTCTTTCACCCATTACGACCACACAGACTTGCTTTCTTCAAAACGGAAAATCGTTTTTCAGCTTGTTGTATTGGGACACTGCTTACAGAGCGCAACCTGTAAATATCTAGTTTAAGTACTTAAGAGTTAAAAAGGTGCAGACACCTTTTTGATAACGCACTGTTGTGAAGTAGTTTTCGTCCCGAACTTAGCCATGGAAATGGACCTTGAAAATCGAAAGCTATACTTTCGTTTTCAAATAGGACAATCTTTTATTGAGCTTTTCCCGTTAAAAACGGGCGTGGGGGTGTTAAATGTGAAATAATAGGCAGTTAAATATAAAGAACAAAATGTTGTCCCGGTGAATTGTAGTGTTTACCAATATTTTCCCGCTATTGTTTAGCTATACTTAAACACTGGTATTTGAAATGAATTCACTTCTGGCAAGGAAAGCCTTCCAGATCTTAAACTGTTCAGTCTTAGCAAGGGTGACTATTGGATGGGTGGAGTAGGGGACTACTGTGATTCACGAATCCTTAGTAATGATAGATGACATTTTTGGCTTTGTCACTGCATGCACAGAATCCTTTTTCTTTTTATCAATATAAGTTAAATATTAACATTATATCCTAGAGTGTTTTTAAATGTTTTTGATGATGCAAAGAGTTGTTTCCACTGATAAAATATGAAAATATGAAATTTCTAACATGGTTTGCTGATTTTTCTTTTTTTAAATTTTTTTGGTAAGTTCCCTACTTTTTCAAAAGCATACCGATTTTTGATGCGAGCATCCACATTATATTTTAGATGAACTGTGAAAAATGAGCAGGCAAATTGGTGACTTTTGAGGGGAAACAGAAACTGCCTCTCCCCAATTTTTTTCTCTCCCTTCTCTCATTACATTGGGGTGTGTGTGTGTTTCTTTGACTTAAAACTTGATTTTCTAATACAAATAACAATCTGAATGAAAGGAAAGCCAGTGGAGAAAAACCTGTAAAAGGACTTTCTGGGTGTATATTAGAGAAGACAAGACAAAACTTTATTGAGATTGTTTGTTTTATTGAGGGTGAGACATTGAATTGTATTTGGCATAGAAAAAGCATTTAAAAAGCTTTGTGAACTAAACTGGCCTGTATTCAGGAAACTTGCCAACTTGAAAGTGATTGTAGCATTAAAGAATATTTGACAATGGGGGGCAGAGACTCCTAAGGCCATATGCTAATAAGGTATTTTGTGTGTGTGTGTGTGTGTGTGTGTGTGTGTGTGTGTAAAATCTTGCTTTGGGGGAGGGGTGCTCTTTCTGTTTGTTTTTTCTTTTGCCTGCAGTAATTACTACTAGATGTTTCCTGTTCTCTAGCAGGTTAACTCTGAGCTAAAGGCATATTTGTTTTATTTTGTGGCTCATACAAAGTTTGGTTTTTATGATGGCATAAGTAGAAGAGGGGTTTTGCTACCTTTGACAAGGGGAAGAGTTTGCTTAGTTGATGTAAGGCTTGAAAGAGTAGACCTTTCATACATCTTTTCAATAAGAGATAATGCCAGAAATTAGGACAGTTTTTATACTAATAGAAGAGTTTATTAGCTTGGTTAATCTGAGACCCAGACATAAATAAAAGATTTCATTAGTAAAATTACGTGAAAGACAAGTGGTGACTTGGTGGTCAACCTATGAAAATACTGGGAAGTGCATGTTTTATGTGTGCGGGATCGAGCTAATCATTATAGGGAAGAACAAAGATCTTGCCCTTCAACAATTCTGTAATATACAAGGGGGCTTCAAAAAGTTTGTGGAAAAAAATGAAACAATGAAAATTTCCCGTGAACTCATACATATTATATGGAGTTAAGTATGAAATATATACATATGCAAATAATACAAGATAATTCCCATAAGACAGTTAAAAATTAAATGCCGTGTACTTAAAAAAAAAAAAAAGAAAGAAAGAAACTTCAGGAAAGACCATAAAGACTGACAGTTGAGGTGAATGTTGAGAGGACAGTCTGGTGTGAGATTGGGGGAGGTATATTACAGGCTAAAGAAATACAGCTTATTCAGGAAAGAGAGAAAACAGTTATAGGGTTTATTCAAGGAAGAATGGTTCAGTATTGTGACTGCCTTAGAATATGTGTAAGGAAAACCTAGAAGTAGGACCTGCAATTTATAAGGGAAGGCAAGAGTACGGTTTTCCCCTTTGGTTGGCAGTGGGGAAATATTGACGATTTTAGAATGGTGGTCATAGAATTTATAGAGACAGTTTCTACTCTGTGATCTGAACTGTAGTGTAGGTTAGTGAGAAAGAGTCGCTAATTCATATATGAAAGGGCTTCAAAAAGTTTATGGAAAAATTTCATTGTGTCTTAATTCCATTTTTTCATGAACTTTTTGACGCCTTTTCATATTAGTGCATTAATAGAGTATTTAAACAATGAGAAAAGAGTGGAATTTTTCAAAGTTTCTGAACATGAGTTGTTGAAATGGTTTTTGTTTGTGTTGGGGAAGGAGAACTTGATGGGAGGAAGCAGATGAAACTGACATAGTTATAAGACTAGTAAAAGTGACATGGAGTATAGCCAAAATTTTGATCCAAACTAGTACAGATTCTCAACCTCTTCTTTCTCTTACAGAAAGTAGGTTAGGGGTCACATTATTTGGGGCATTGTTCCAAATGAACATGGTAGAAAGTCCTCAACCTTTTTGATAGTCACTATAATGAGAGAACTTTGAAGGCAGAATAAGAACTAAAATCCAAATGAAAACTATAAAGAGCAAAGATAAAGAAGAAAGTCAAAATGGCCACGACTGAAGTCTTCATAAATGAAAGAAGTTAGAGAAGGTTTTGCCAATTTATCGTCTGTATCTCTGTTTGTAAAGTTAAGAGGATTGTGCTAAATATCTAAATGTCACTCAATTCTAATGGCTTGGGGCTATAAAATATAGAGGTCCAAGACATTCCACCTCTACTCGGACTTTCTTCCAACTCTAAAATTAATTTTAAGAGTCTAGATTGAAAAACATGTTTTGAACAATAGATGAAATGCTAAAAAGACTAATGACTTAAAGGTGATGCGTAGGTCATTGGTGATCTTAATTCACAAAGTGTGTTGAAGAGAGCAAAATTTAAATGGAAAAGATTAGTAAATAAGTTAGGTGTACAACTGTGTAGTGGTTAAGATAGTGTGTAAGATGTCTTGAAGTCATTAAAAACTTGGAAATATGAGCAAAGAAATCAGAGGGTTCACAAAGCCTCTCTGGGACTAAGGAACAAAAATCCATTTTTACATATTGCATGTGCAAAGCTATGCAAGCAAACAATATTTATACAAGATAACCTTTGTCTCAATAACTCTGTATTATCTTCTCTTGTATTAACAGGCTTTTAGTAGTCTAGTTTAGAGAGCCTGTTTTAGTATAATGCATAAAAACTGAGGTGGTCTAATGGGTTTTTAAATACAGTCACTTAAAGTAGTACATAGAGAATCTCTGAAAGTTGTCCTTTCGTAAAAGCTATAATCTTAATCCAGTAATAAGCTTGAATTTAGTTAAGTTTCTAAGTTCGATTAATATCTTAATGAAAATTTGACTCTTATGCTGGTTATTATTTTGAAGTAAGACTCATTTTGTGAGGAGTAGGAGTTCAGGTTAGGACTAAGCTTAGGTCTAGGCTATGCCTAGAGCTTACTCTAGTGTTAGGGTTATGATTAGAACTAGGATTGGTGTTAGGGTTTGGGCTAGGGCTAAGGATTGGTCTAGTTTTAGGGTTGCAGTTAGGTTTTGTTTTCCTTGAAGTCTACTTGATTTCTTCTTCATTTGAAAGTTCTGTAACTGTATTATCTCTACTTTGTGGGGGTTTATATATTCAATCTTGTAGGTTTGTTTTACTTAAATACTTATGTATCTGGAAACCCTGCTGTGGCACTATAGGATAAGCACTAACTAGACTGCTAACCACAAGATCGCACAATGTTTAAACCCAGCAGCTGCTCCTTAGAAACCCTAGTAGCACAAATCAAGATGCGTTGGAACCAACTCTTTTGGTACTTAACAACAGCAACAACAACTAATCTTGAGTTGAGTTCTGAATGATACTGTCATTTATCTTAATCTCAGATTGTTGTCTGCTATAGTTGATTATCCAGCAGTTTGAAACTACCAGCTGTTCCGTGGGAGAAAGATGAGGCTTTCTGCTCCCGTAAAGATTTATAGCCTTGGAAACCCTGTACAGGGTCACTATGAGTTGGAACCGACTCCACAGCACATAACCACCACTGCCACCATTGTTTGATTCTCGGTTCAAAGAACTCCCTTTAGTATTGTTTGTAAGGTTGGCCTGATTGGTTTAGGTTTTTTGTTTTTCTTTTTTACTTTTTATTGTGAATTGAGGAAAGATTTACAGACAAGATTTACATTCAACAAACTACATTTTCTTCATTTCCATATTCCATCCCTTCCATACTACAGTTATGCACCTTCCTCCCTATGGTTCCTATGGGCATTCCACCCACCTTGCTATTGATTAACTCTGTCCTTAGAAAAATGTGGCCTTTTTTTTTTTTTTTTAACCATTCTTTGATGAGTATAATATACCTTGATAGTGTTATCACCACCCCCTCCATAAAAATTTCCACCTCTTGTCTGAAAGTTGGGCCACTAGGGTGAGTTCCTTTCCAGACCTGAAGGGTAGTTGAGGGCCATAGTCTCAGGTTCCCTCATCACAGTAAACCCATTTTTTGTTGGTTGTTTTTCTTTTTTAAATAATTTAGAGTTTTGGTTCACATTTTCACCCACTCTCTGTGCTCTCTAATGTGATCGCTTTGGAGCAGTGGTCGTGGAGACTGATGTTCACGTGTTCCATTAGT